AAAAAAAGGTATTCACTAGTGAACAAAAAAGCAGCATTTCACCTAGATTTCCTTTAATTCCACACATTTAAAACATGTTTCTCACCAAGTTTGTGTAAATTCAGCTGTGGGTTTTAAAGACATTTCAACTTTAATGGACTTTAGAGCGTCAGGTCGGCACAATTTGTGTTTATAGAGAAATAAAAAACATCACCACTAGACTTGTTTACTTGTGTTCAACACTACTCATCTAAAGGATGTTTCTCACGAAGCTTGAGGACAATAAGGTCTGGGGTTTTAAAGCCATTTCAACTTTAATGCACCTGAACACACAGCTTCTCTTACACTTGCAGTGTCTTACAGCGTCACAGTTACTGCTAAGCTAAGATGCTACGTAGCGCTCCTCTCAAGCATCCTCCTAAAAACCATGTATATATGTTTATGATCAACCCCCCTGGTCAACAACTGCCCACACTAAGCTCGCTAAACTGGCGAGCGAGCAACACAGAAGTGTCTCTATCTCCTCCACCTGTGCGCGTTTTCTGCCGAGGCAGGAGGAGACAGAGGAGAAACACTGCAGGCAGCAATGCTGCTGTGTTTAGAGTTGGAGGTAACAAGGAAAACCTGGAGTGGACTTTGAGTGGCTTGAGTATTCTCCTATTAATCAAGTGGAATGGATTTGTTCATGAAGAAAGAGAAACTGCGCCGACTGAACTAATGTTTTATAGTAAAAGTGGGGGGGTCCAAATGAACATTTTTTTAATGTGGGGGGGACATGTCCCCTTCACATATAATGGTTGCGACGCCTATGAGAGGATGACATTTTTTCAAGAAGTCCATGAGTCACGTGATTCCAGTGGGATGGGAGTCAACTTTAATATTACTCACGTGATTGGGACGGTACAGGATTAAAAAGTTAACGGGAGCAGACGGGAGCGGGAATCATCCAATGGGACAAAACGCAAACAAACAACAACAAAAAAAAAAACATAAGACAGGCGGTGCCGCCATTTTGTAGTTTTCTTTCAATAAGCCTGCACTGTAATGCAAGCCAAAAAAAACTACACAGTGCTTCCAGCCTCTGCTTTCCACCAAATTTCAAAGAAGAGCAGTGGAGGGAGCAAATACTACCGGAGAAACTGAGGTGGTAAAACTAGTTTTGCAACACAAATTCAGAGCTAACAATGTATTTATTAAGATCACAGAACTGGCAGAAAAGTCTCAAATAATCCTGAACTTCACGAGAGTTGAGTTAAAACGGTGTATGCTGCTTGTAAAACTTGTTTAGTCCTAATCAAGTCTGGAGGATGACATTTTTCGGGAATACCACAGGTCACGTGATTACCGCAGGATTCACATGGGATGGGAGTCAACTTTAATATTACTCATGTGATTGGGATAGGATAAGATTTTTGTCTGTGGGAGTGGGACGGGAGTTAAAATCCACTCCCATGTCACCCTCTAATCGGAATATAAACTCACAGATTAAATGTAATTTGAATTACCTTGTCGAAGCAGACCAGGTTAAGCTGGCCGCACATGTTGATTCTCTGGGGGCTGATGCAGAAAATGCCGGTACGCTTCAAGCGCCGCTGAGCATACACAATACCGGCTGTCATGGCTGCAGGTAAGGCTGGGGGGACAGTAATGGTGATGATGTCCAAAGATTCAATGATTATAGTTTTAGCTGGAACCTAGATAAGTGCAGAAAACAGCCATTAAAACTTAGATTTAACACTTTACTGCTCATGTCTCCAGGGAAACGGGATACCTTGCTCATGATACTGAGGACAATGGTGTAGATGAAGCCGATCCCTGCGACCCCGACCAGACACAGCAGGAACAGGTAAGCATCACGGTACAACTTGAAGTCCGTGGGTTTAGGGTAGAGGATGGAGCGTACGAGCTGACCTTTTTCGGTACTAAAACCTGGGAAAACATACATTTCCATTTCCTTATTCCTCATTATTTTCCTATCTATACATTATAATGCTGAAAATGTAGAGGTTGGTTGCTGTCTGTCTCACCTGTTCTGACCACAACAGCCTTCACCAGTTCACCTGTGTAGTACCGGGTCTGGATGACATGGGTTCCACAGAACAGTGTGTGTCTCTTGTGCTCCTCCATGTCGTAGAGCCTAGCTGCGTCGTCACCTGAACTAGGTAGGCTGGTTTTGGTCACAGGAACGCTCTCGCCTAATGAATAAATGAAAATAAATATAAAATTAAAACCATGTTGATAAAGGTTGCACACAAGGGTCATATGAAGGGACACAATCCAAGATTTTAGACATTTATGATGGGGTATTGCTGGGTTCTTCTTCACCTCTTTCTGGATTGCATTCAAGGTCCTACAATTGTTAAATTTCTAGACAATGTCCAGCCCACAAGGTTTAAATATATACATACATGGCAGCAGCCATCTTGGATTTTGACATGGCAACCCAATTTTCAATAGTGACCTTTCTTACGCCTAAAAGAAGCCACGCACCAAAATAGAAGTCCATACGTTGCTTAATTTTAAATATATGTTGAAATCCAAGATGGAGTAGAAGATGTGAGTAAGAAAAATTCAGTTTAGTTCAGTTTATTTATATAGCACCAAATCACAACAGAAATCATCTCAGGGTACTGTACAGAAAGATTCATATACATAAAAAAGTTAACATTATTTATCTAAGGAACAGACTTGCTTTATGTTTAATTTCATCGCAGACTCTCTATCTTGAGCAAGCATGAAGGCGACAGTGGAAAGGAAATACTCCCTCATGAGGAAAGAAGGGTGATGCTTTCTCCGCTATTGTTAAAAGGGCGCCAGGTCAGTTTACTGACCATTAACAGGTTAATTAATAATTATTAATAATTACAAGGAACTCTTTACCATAAAAAATTAATATTTACCCTAAATGAGGAGCCAAAATGGGGGTGGCTTGGACCCTGTAGTCAACAGAGGGTCAGTTGAGGGACGAGGAATCAATGTGCCCATTACTTACTTTAGGACCACGGCCTCAAATTTCAAACAGTTGACTTTCAGTCACTTTACACTTGGTAACTTGCAAACCTCCCCAAGTTGTATTTAAGCAAAAAAACGGTTTCCCAAAACAGACATCTTCCTCTTGAAAGACAAGATATAATTTATTAAATTAGAAATGCCACCTTGAACATAATTCCTTACCAATTTAGTGGTACAATGTTCATATAGTTTTAGAGTGTCTTTATCTGTTAGGACCTGGAGCTCACTGAGAGTTTTTGATTTCTTTCTGACACTTTTATGCATGCTACATTTGTGGCAGTCACATTTAGATTGTGCAGCGAGCACAACTGTGACCTAATGCATAAAATAATTTGCTTACACCTGCTAAACCAGATAGGTATGTTTATCAGTGTTGTTTGCTTTGGGACTATGAAGCAGACAGCAAATAATGGGTGCAAATGATGCACAAAAAGTATAAAACAGTGTTCAATGTTAGTGAGTATGGGTCTCAGTTTTTTAAAATGCAGCAAAACATATTTGTCAATGTTGTGCATATCAAGAACAAACTACATCCTCACCTGTCAGCATACTCTCATTTACAACACAGTTTCCCTGGAAAAGGATGGCATCGCAGGGCATTACCATCCCATTTGCTGGAATAGAGATGACATCACCGGGGACAAGCTCTGTTGACATGGCCTGTTCGATATCTGGGATGAATAATGACAAAAGGAATAAATAAAAAGGTATAAGTAAATAAAACAAAGTCTAAAACATTTAGCAAATGAGAGTAAGAGTGTAATCCTCAATTTTAAGATATAACAATGTGTGATAACAAAAAAAAGAGAGACCTTTGTTTCCACGGCACACTGAAACTCTAACCACACTGTGTGCTGCCACCATGTTGTGTAGCATCACATATTGCTGAAACAAGAGAGCAGTCGAGTTAGAGAGGGAGAAAATGTACATTGGTGCTTGAAAGTTTTAGTCCTTATAATTTTATATATTTCTACATAAATATGACCTAAAACATCATCAGATTGTCACACAAGTTTTAAAAGTAGAAAAAGAGAACCCAGTTACACAAATGAGAAAAATATTATAGTTTATTATTTATTTATTGAGGAAAATGATCCAATATTACATATGTGTGAGTGGCAAAAGTATGTGAACCTTTAGGATTAGCAGTTAATATGAAGGTGAAATTGGTCAGGTGTTTTCAATCAATGGGATGATGATCAGGTGTGAGTGGGCACCCGTTTGATTTAAAGAACAGGGATCTATCAATGTCTGCTCTTCACAACATGTTTGTGGATGTGGATCATGTCTGGAACATGTTTAACTGGGTTCTCTTCATCAACTTTTAGGACTTGTGTGAAAATCTGAAGTTGTTTTAGGTCATATTTATGCAGAAATATAGAAAATTATTAAGGCTTCGCAAACTTTCAAGCACCACTGTACGTACGTACATTGAAAACACCTGATTCGTTCATTCATACATTCATACATATAAAAAATTCATTGGATTGAAAAAGGTTGTCTGGTGACATTAAACACAGACACTAATGACGTTAAACACTAACTTTCTTATTGAGAATAGAGAGCACAGATTTGTAATTAGACTAGAAAAGAAAACAGACACTAATCAGTATTATCTCCTCTCAGCTTACAATTTGTAAGGCTGAGACATGACTCACCTTTCTAATAGTATACAATGAGGTAGCTATTGATATGATGGACATAAAAACTATGGCTGAGGCGAAGTAGAAGTAGTTTTCAGCACTCCACAAAATAACACTGAAGAGTTGAAAGATGTAAAAAGGGTTCAAAACCTGGTGGGAGATGAAAAAAACAAAACATTAGAGGCAGAATGTGGGCTAAAATAAAAGATGTTTAGTTCCAGATTTAACGCTCACCTCTTTGATAAGAAGCTTGAACAGAGAGGGAATTCTCACAGCTATCTCATTCTCCCCAAAAAACAACCTCCTGAGAGGAATTGGAACAATTCAACAATTTCAGAAGACTTTCATAAATTGATTCATCATCTTTGGTATGAAATTAAAAAATGAAAAAATAAAAAACAACCTGATATGTACATAAATACCTATAGTCCTGCAGGGTTTTAGAAAGTCCAGAGCTGTGTTCAGAGTGGACGAGTGCACAGCTCATCTTTACATCCTCCAGGCCTCTAGAAAAGTAAAACGCCTTCAATTCTACCGAGTCACAAACCGCTAAACACAAATCAGTCAAAAGTATTCACTCTCATGGCAAACCTGTATGGATTATTATTTTAATTTATATTGTTTAAAGGTATTTTCAAATACAGTAGTCCCTTGTTTATCGCGGGGGATCTGTACCCTGAAGACCTGCAATAAGGGGAAAAACCACGAAGTAGAGATATTACTGCAAGTAGTAAGTAGTAGTTTATTTTAGTATTATCTATCTATCTATCTATCTATCTATCTATCTATCTATCTATCTATCTATCTATCTATCTATCT